TTCATACTCAGTTTCTTCTTTGAGAGGCTGCCAGAGTGGGTTGGCTCATCAAGGTGAATAATTCGTTTCTCGCACCCACACAATACCTGATTCATCTGGGTGTGTTTTTCAATTCTCCCCTCAGTTTGGCCCAGCCCTCTTCCCTTCATTTACGGTATGTGGAATGGCTTGTTTGCAATCTATCAGCCTCTCCTTCTCTTACTTCATGAGAGACCCTATCTATTTTGGGGATGTGGGCTTCTCTCAAAGCCCTCATTCTCCTTGGTCGTGCCCACATGCATCACCTTCAGTGGTTGTTACTTGACCATTGGATTTCCACTCTTACATGCCAACTTTGCTTGTGGTTGGATTGGACCAATACTACTATCAGAGTTCCTCTTCCACCTTCCTGACCAGATTGTCATCATTTTACAGATGCTTCCCTTTCCGGTTGGGATGCATATCTCAATGCTCAAGAAGTTATGGGGCATTGGACACTGCCGAATCATCTCTACATATCAAGATCTTGGAGTTGCTGGTGGTTTCATCATGCTCTGCTTCACTTTTGTTAAATGTTTAGGGGTGTTCGGTGATGGTTCACTCTGATAATTCCAAGGTAGTGTCTTATATCATGAAGAACGGTTGTACCTGGTCACAAGATTTTTGTTTTTGAATACTGCATCTCCTCTACTGGGCCAACAATTGTCACATTAAATTGTTATACTGTCATATTCTGGGTGCCCTGAATCTGGTTTCAGACCATTTTATCTTGGCCCAACAAGATTTTACTGACAGAGTGGTCATTAGATCTGCAGGTTTTCAGGAGTTATGTGCTCATTGTGGTTTTCTGGATGTGGATGCTTTTGCCACACATCTCAATGCACAACTTCCTTATTTTTTGTCTCCTGTTTCTCATTGTTTGGCAGAAGCTGTTGATGTTCTAAGTCAAAATTGTAAGGGATATTACCTGTATGCATATACTCCTATTTGTCTTCTTCCCTGGGTCCTTTCATTGACTACTCCTTATGTGCTCCTGGTGGCTCTGTTTTGGCATGCTCAGTTGTGGTTTCTGCTTCTGTGCAGACTTTTGGTGTCACTTCCCCCTTCCTTTGCCATTGTCTCCCATGCTCTTTTGTCAACCACAGTCAGGCTTGCATCATCCGTCCATTCCCACCCTTTGGTTTCATATTGGCTATTGTCCAGTCCCTTGCTAAACAATCTGGATTTTTCAAGCCTGTTGCCTAATTTATTGCCTGTCCTGTACATATTTCCTCTTTGGTGGTTTATTAGTGTAAGTAATATACTTTCTGCGGCTGGTCACTCTGCTGGGTATATTGTCCTTTACAACCTTCCCTATTGCAGTTGACTGCATTTTCACTTGGCTCTTTAATAGGAGACTGTCAGTTTCCTCGATTGCCAGCTATTGAGCTGCATTGTCTTGCACGTTCAGCATTACTGAGTTTGCTTCTGTCTTTCAATCTCCTGTGTTGTCTTTGTTATTTCAATTATTTTCCCATTCCTATCGTCCCTGCCCTGTGTCTCTTCTTTCACACTCTCACTCATTCTCCATTTGAACCTTTGTCTTTGTGTTCCCTGTAACATCTTTCATTGAAATCTCTGTTTCTCACATAATTGGCTTGTGGCCAGTGGCATTCTGAGATTGACACATTTTGTGCTGTTCCACAGTTCCCATGTTCTCCTTTTCCCTCACTGTTCGTTTTTGCCCAACACTTCTGCTGATAGGGAGGGTAATTCCATTGTTTTTCACAGTTCATTATCCTCTAATTCCCAGTTTTATAACCATTTGGATCCCGACTGCCTCCTGTGTCTGGTTTGGGCCCTCTGATTGTATCTTACTTGCATTGCTCTCTTCCATGGTTCCCTTAACCAATTGTTTATTCCATGGAATCCTTCTATGACCCAAGACCTACTTCCTCACAGGCTAGGTTCACCAGTAAGTAGGACTACTAATGGTTCTTTCCAATGGTCTTTTGCTTCATAAATATGTTCGTCCCAGATTGTGCATTCATGGACAACCATGAGTAAAGCAGACTGGAATAGCTGCCCATTTCTGATGCTCTGTGGTGTTGAGACTCTTCATACTGCAGACCTTTTTCAAATCTGTCACCTCACTATGTCCCTGGCTGCCCACTTCTGTCTTTCTTTGGAGATCATCATCAGGACTGGTATGTGGACTACACCTCATGCCTTTGTTTTGCATTATTTACATCATGTGGCTATTTCGTGCTCAGCGGGTTTTTGTTTACCTCCAGTTGCCATCTTGCACACTACAGTGTCATTATGACTGCCTCCTGTGTATGGTCTGGGCCCCTTTATGGTATCTTACTTGCATTGCTCTCTCCCATGATTCCCAAAACCATTTGTTTATTCCATGAAATCCTTCTATGTCCCGGGACCTCTCTCTCCCATTACCCTCACAGGTTATATTCACCAGTTAATTAAGCTGGTGTATTCTTCCCTTTCGCCTGAGGAGTGACACCTTCTTAGGGTATCATCTCAACAAATCTGTCACCCCACCATGTCCTGGCTGCACATTTCTGACTTCCTTTGGAGATCATCATCAGGACTGGTATGTGGACTACACATCATGCCTTTGTTTTGCATTTTTTACATCATGTGGCCATTTCTTGTTCAACACTGTGGTGTCATTATGACTGGTAAGTACTATGTTTTCATTATTTCTTTATTTATAGTGGCCTTTTTGCTAGTGTATTGTGGATCCCACTCTGTAACAAGTAGTGTTTGACCAGGTATACTTTTTTTTGGAAAATCTGCATTGTGACCATACTCAATTATGCTGTAGCTCTTCCTACTGCAGACCTGTTGCACAATTCCAGATGCTGCCAAGCATTAGTTGTGTGTCTCTGTTCAGTTGTCATCTGTGCCAAACCAGTTACATTGCAGGATTAGATTATATACACCATAGAGATGTGGTGTTAAGTAGAACCACTAGTGGTTCTCACCAGTGGTCTTTTGCTTCATAAATTTATATGTTCATCCCAGATTGTACACTCGTGGACAACCATGAGTAAAGCAGACTGAGATAGCTGCCCATTTTTGATGCTCTGTGGTGTTTAGACTCTTTATACTGCAGACCTGATGTACAGCTACAGATGTTGCCTGTTGTTGGTTGATTGACTCCATATATGTGGTAGCTCTGCTTTTCAAAATAGGGTATCACAGTCACCCATAGCACTGTCTCCTGTGATACAGTCCCCTGGACTCTCCAACACGTATTTCCCTCTCCTTTCTTCTAGTGGAGTATGAGAGTCCTTGCCACTTAACAGTTCCTAGCTGCTGGAGTGGTGGACCATGGAGGCCTGTCCTCCTGAGTGATGCATCATACCATTCAATTGAAAGCAAAGCAGTGGCATTTTGCAAGTGTATTCTGCTTCCTATCATGGACCGGATGTGGAATTCCAATGGCGCCTGGTTTTGGTTGTTGTACTATGGCATATTATATATATGGCAGATTGCTTTTTCATACCATAGCATTCCTCCTTCCTACAATTCTCTGGATGTACTTTCCCTGTAGATCTGGTGTTGGTTGGAGATGGCATGGTCATGATTTGAATCAAGTGCCGATGGTGTGATGCCCTTTCTACCAAGGACCTGATATACAATTCCAGATGCTGCCAGATTTTGGTTTAAACACCCTGCCACGTCATGACTATATATGTACACACACACACACACACACACACACACACACACACACACACATATATATATATATATATATATGTATTTATTTATTTATTGCAGTTTGACCCTCAAGATGAGATGTTTCTCCTACCTATTATTCTCTGGATGAGGTTCCTGGGGCGTCAAGTGTTGGTTGGAGATGTTCCAGCTAAGTAAGTCCACATGTGCTCTGCATATTGGATGAAAAATGCCCATTGCTGCCAGATTTTGAATAGGAGTTGCACCCCAGTTTTGTGGTCTCTCTTTCTACCACTTGCTGGATGTCAGTTCCTGACAGACCTGGTGTTGTAGCTGGATGCACCACATGTATTCCCACTTGTTTATGGTCAGGCATCTTCCTCCTACCACTGACTGAAAGAAACATACCCAGTGCCACCTGGTTTTGGACCTGAGATGCCATCCCACCAGGACTTTCCACCTTCTTACCATCAACTGGATATCAGTTCAAAGTAAATCAGGTATTTGATGGGTTGGAAATGCGCATGAATGAAGATGGATTTTGATACAGAAGCTCGTCTTCCCTACCAATTCCTGTTTTGAGGTGAAGAGGTAGGTGATCCTTTTCCTATCATGGAACTGATGTACAATTCCAGATACTGCCAGGTTTGGGTGAGGTTGAACTACCACTTTGATCTGTCATGCCTCTCTACACCTAAGAGTCCCATTCATCGGGCATACATTTTCTGGGATTCCTTCATGTTTTTCTGCCTTTTATACTTGAGACACCGTCATAAAATAGGGAAGAGTATACCTGAATCAGAAGTGGTGTGGTCTCCCACTGAGGCGTGATGTTTTCTCTTTTGGTACTCCACTTACTGGCCTCTCTTTGGATGCTTCCTAAAGGGGATCATTTTGTACTGGCCCTTCACTAGTTCAATGTGGGATTCTAGCTATTTTGTGAGAAGAGGTAAGATGTATCAAAACTTGACATTTTCTTAAACTGAAAATGTATTTCCAATAGATACTTACCTCCTTTCACATTTCCCACCCAGCCTCCCCACTTCCAGTGATACATGGTCTAAGTCCTGTGACCAACCTCGAAGTGATTAATGAGTGCAAATGTGGAGAGGGCACTGGTTATGATAGAGGTTATGTTATGCTCCTATTGGTGGAGAGCTGCTGCATAATCATACATGTAGAAGTGGGAGGTGAAAGGCTAGTGACGAGCATTGAAAATTTGCTCCAATAGAGGGCAGTACTTATCGAGAAAAGGTATTTTGTGAGAGGTGGTAAGTATTTGTCAGAAATACATTTTCAGTTTAGGAAAATTTTAACATTTCTTTGTATCTTTTTAGGAATTGTTTATGCTGATGAAAACAAGTGAAATGAGAGAGTTAACAAATGATCAAGCCTGTCAAATCATTGTAACCATGTGGGATCTACAAAAGCTTTTGTTTGGAACCAGCTCTGAAGCATTTATAGACTTCAACCATCAACTTTATTCAAACCCACACTTTCATGAGATACTTGAAGTGATATCTAGAAACTATCACTTACTTTCAGATGAAGTGGTTTCTAACATTTTTCTTGCTCTTAGAAGACTTGGTATTCCACTTGATAATTTGTTAATGCAGGATATCATGTGGGAATGTAGAAAGCGCTGTGAACAGTTTGATCTTCCTGCTTTATCTAAGTTTACTGTTGCTTTAGAACATAGTGGTAACCAAGTTCTACCCTCTCTCTCTTTACTGTTAACAAGAATGGTTCAGTTGCTTACACATCAGTGCCAAGAAGAAAAAGATTTGAAATGTGTGGCCATTTGCCTCATCCACCAATTACACCTTGCATCTTCAAATTTATTTGACTTATTTGCAAAATCTGTACAGCAGTTCCTCAAATCTGGGAAACTTACGGATCAGCGTGTAATACGAAAGTGTCTTACAGTCCTTACAAGCACACCATATCGGCATCGTTACTTGACCACAATTCAAGAATTGTGCAACCTGCTTATTCCAAGTATGCAGAAACTCAATAGTCTAGAGCTAGCATCTGTGTGTACTCTTGTAGCTAAAGCTGAATGTAATACAGATCCACTCATTGCTGTTATCCTTAGCCATGTACAGAACATGCTAAATAATCAACCAAGTCCAACCTCTCTGTTGTATTTACTTCAGTGTCTTGTTTTTAACCACGAAATTCATGACGGAAAGCGACAGCAAGAGTTTTTCACCTTCTGTCTTCAGAATGTTCCATTCACTTTTCATGCAGGTAGATTGCTACGTATTCTTTTTTACTTACCACTAGAGGACATTCAAACACTGGACATTTTTTGGAAATTAGTTGCAGAGTCCATAGATTCTATAAATGTGCATCGTCTAGCTTGTCGAGTTTATCTATTAAAAAAATTATCTTTATCCAAACCATATTCTCATAAAGCTTTTGAGTCTGTTATGAGCAAATGGTGTTATTCAGAGTTAGAAAAACATGGTTTTTTATTCTGTAAAGATATTGCACTACTTGGAGCTTTTTTGATATCTTGTTCGCCAGAGGAATTACCAGCTTGGATGTATGATAAAATTCTTAATATCATACCACGGTTAAGTCCAAGTTACACAGATTTTTTGGCATTAGCATTAAATCTGGTACGAAAACAAAATGTGTGTGTGAGAGAAAAGATGCAGAATAAACTAGATTTAATAAAACATGAACTCAATGTTGTAGCAAAAGACCAGCTTAGAGATGCATTCTCCATTAGAGGGTTAAATCGCTTAATACACACTCAACTTTTACTAACTCCTCGATACCAATTAGGAAATTCTCTTTTCATTGATGATTTAATGAATAAATATCATTCTTGTTTTAAAACATTCACTCCTAAAGTTATTGAAGACACCAGTAAATACCTGACACTGGTTAAATTTTGGGTACCAGAAGTTGTGGAGTCAATGGCGAAGCAAGTTGTGGAACAACCACACATCTTTCCTGCATCTGTGATCAGCAGGCTGCTTTTCCTCTGTTACACTTTGTCTTGTTTTCCAGAAGCAGATTCTTTTCTGGATAAATGTAGAGATATTATTGTCAGGTATGTATAAATATTATTGATGGCAAATATGCACTATGTGCTAAATATGCATGTGAGTTATCCATTCAAATACTTCTTTTAACATGTATAACAAACAATTTTTTTTAAAGTAGAGAACAGTTTTTTTTTAAATTTTACACAAGTCCATTAAGTGTAGATGTTTACTAAACGAATTATTAATAATGTAATCTTTAAATTATACTACATAAAATTCCAATTTATATTTTAATATATGACGGCAATGACAATATTGTTTTATGTGTACAATGAAAACTTTTTATATTGTAGTCATATCTGTCTCTTTGCACATCTGATTTTATGATGTAGCAGTGTTCTCACATAAATGTTGATTTATATACACAGGTAAGGGCAATACCAGCCTCATCACATATACTTGTTACCATCATATAAGAACAGGTTAAATGTATAATGCAAGTAAAAACTGTTAAAAAGGACCTGTATAATCATTTGAATCACTATCTTAGTACTTTTGTAGATTTAAACCTGTGCATATAAGATTTTTGAACTAAATGTACATGCTTGTTGTTTGTATTCTTTAATGTAACCAACTCAAAACTATTTTGGTATTGAGATTACACATGCAAATAGAAAAACTCAAACTGTCTGATTAACCCTCAAACTACCCACTTGTTTATTAAATGTTTGCTACCAGTGGGGGTCCACATATTGTATCATATTGAGTAATTTCATATTTTAATTTGTTACAACATTTAGTCTAAAGAACTGAATATAAGTTTGTAGGTATTGTCACTAATTTTCTGTGTAAATTGATTGAAAATCTAGTAGTAATTAGTAGAATCAGTTGCGATAATAATGGCATTTTTATTAACATTTTTACACGATTCACATGTCATTTGAGATCCTGTAACGAACAGTCATATACCCACAAACAATTTAGGAAAATGTATGTAAAAGCTAAACTTATGAGGTCTACACCCCACCAGTAACTTTGTTAAACAGTCATTAGTCAAGTTATAGTAAAATAAGCTTGCACATTCTAATTATTGAATGCTGCATTTAAATATTAATATGGTTTTGCTTTACTCACAATTCACTTTCCATTTTTATCCAACTTTATTTAAGGTATTCTTATTCCCATCAGAAATTGACTTGTACCAATGTAACAATAACAAAATGTTGTTTATTACTGGTAATCAATAACATATAGATTTAGAAATAATTATTGTTTCTTATTGGCAGCATATTACTTTTTTCTTTTGCCTTGCTTGGTATATTCATTCTTTCTCAAATCTCCAGGTCTTCTTTAACACTGAACTTCTGTATTTATTCCTTTCTCAAACTCATATCAAACTGGCCTTTTTCTTTTTGACCTTGTGCCTGTTTCCTGTATATTGGATTTTAAGGTTTCATAACTAAAGGAGGTTTTATATACTGGCTAAACTTAGAAAGGCAGCTGTTAACCACTCACTACAGTCATTTTCTAATAACTTAAGAGTACTGTAACCTTCTAATCCCTTAAAGACTGACCAAAAGCCTGTCTCTTTCTCACCTCTCAACTTTTACTGATGTTCCTTACATCTGACTTCATAACACTTTCAGGTTTTAACTCCTATTATTATTATTAACACATATTTTATTTTCTATAATCTAGAATTTGATGTTTAGCTGCTATTCTCCTTTTGCAAAGATTAATAGCCAGTAAGTAATGCTATGTTTTATTTTAGGAGTAGTGGGGAAATGAAATGAAGTAGATGGTGATCTTCCCCCAGTTGGGGATAGTGCCTCCCTTAAGGGCAGTTAAATTAGCCACAGGTGATAATGATTTACATCAGTTGCAAAATACTGAAAATACTGTTTCCAGATAGCAAGTATTCATTTTTTCCCCATTCACTGCATGAAAAAGTATACATTTTATTACAGAACTCAACATAACGGGCTGAATATAAAACTTGTACCTATATATACAGGAGTGTCATTAAGACCTAGGGGACTGTTTTACCTTTTGCACATGGTTATTTTCATTTGTTGATTTTTTTCTTTAAATGTCCAAAATTTAACTTAATTGTTTCATTCTTTATGGTTTGTAGGGAAATAGACAACTTTTTTAAGTACATTGATATTTTTTCTGCATAAAATGTGTTTGTTATCTTGACTACAAATCAAATAAGTGTCTTGAATGTCTCAGATGAACTATGTAGACAATTACTTCCACACTGTTTATCCATTTAATTGTAAAGCTCGCTTTACAACTTATGTCTGCGGACTTACAATGCTAGAAACCAGGTTTTGATACCCATGGTGGGTAGAGCACAAGTAACCCATTGTGTAGCTTTGTGTTTAATTAAAAACAAATAAACTCTTTACAGCTAAGATTATTACAACGAAAAGTGCAAGGTAGAATGTAGAAAGACTGAATATTCAGTAAATATGTCGTGCGAACATAACAAGCTTAATCTTGCTCAGCTGAAGATGAGCTTCTGTGTGTGTCAAGTTCTCATTGAGGTTTTTTTTTTACATTGGTGGTTAGAAAATTTATCTGTGGTAGTTTACAAGAGATGTGGCTTTCAGTTGCAAACTTTGTCAAGATTGTACAGTGAAAAATGCAAAGATGGTGCTTTGATTTTTACAATGATGAATTTCTTTGAGTTTATGATGAAACAGCTGTACTCCTTATTGTACTTTTTTTCCATAGTGATAGCCTCTTGCTGGCACAAAATGTTTAGGCATTTCCAAAGGGTTATAACTTCTCTAATGAAGCATTTTGCAAAGGCTGATGTTCTGGAACCAGCAATCTCAACTATCTAACTTCTAAAGTTTGAAACTGGGGAGAAGAGCACTAACTGTGAATTATTGTAGAGTTGTCAAGTTTTGAAGTAAACAGTAAATTGAAAATACTGAAAGGGAAAACAAACTGAGTGTTAGGTAGCTAATGCATTTTAGAATGAATGCTATGACCTTCCTGCAGAAGGTGACAGCTAAGTTGTTGGATAAAATATCTGTTGCCTTCTGTATTGGGTAGAAATTTATCTTATCTTGATATGTAAGAATTTCTGGTAATAAAACTATGAAAACACTGTCAAACTGTATTCTGAAATGGATAAACAGGAAAGGGTAATACAATGAGAAAAATATATCATTGGACATTGTATGTTTTCTAAACAGTTTTTTTTTACAGTCAAGAATAATAAAATTGGTAATGCACAGGATTTAATATTATTACTTACATGTGTTCCTTACCTTAACATGTGTCTTTTGCATGATCTGGATTGACATTTTGGTTTTACCATGATCTGACAACTAGAAAGGTGATGACTGAAATGCTCTGGCATATACATATATAATATTATGTCTGTGTATCTAAGCTATAAAAGAATCTTTTAGACCAACTCTAGAATATTTTAGCAGAATTGATAGGATGGTTCATCATCTTGACTCTAACTTATATGAAAATTATTAACTGTATAACTCTGTTACAGATTTATAAAACCATGTCATTTATAAAAGAAATACATCATTTCTTTATGGTCTTACAATGCTTAAATGCTGGCAAATATGACAGTCAATCACACTACTCAGTTAAGGGCAAATATATAGGTACTGATTATCCTTCCTTGGTCACCAGTTTAAAAATATGATATGTCTATATGTGAACTTTAGGGTCTTTGACCTGATTGTTTAGCTAGTGTCACTTAAAGTGCTTTCTCATTTGAAAGTACTAAATATTTGATATTCTGTAAAGTATGACATGTATGTGAGAACACCATATGATAGTAACATGTAGAAAAATACAAAATCTGGGATGCAAAAGTTTTTTTTGCTAGTTTTTTAACTAAAAGATACAAATCAAGGCAAATACAAATGTGTTTATGTTGTAATTTGGTGCATTGCAGTAATTTCTTCTTGTGAGAAAACTTTTCATTTGCTGTTGAAACATAATTATTATTTATAGGTTTTGAAGGTTAGTAAACTATTTAATATTGATATTTAATGCAGGTATCAAAACAGAATTACTGGGCTGCAGGTGCTTCAAGCTGGTGTTGCCCTTGGTCTCTTTGAACATCTTAATTCTTCATTAATTCACACAATTTTCAGTGTTCCTTTCCTTGACAAAACAGACAGAGAGATAGCAGGTAATAAACTAATAATACAGTATCTTAAAATGGTATTTCTTTTTGTTTTATTCAGTTTTTAATATGTGCATTACTTTAAAAAGAACTAAAGAGTAATCACTGGTGAAGAGCACTAGGCTTAGTGATTCTTTTTTTTTCAATCAAAGGTTTATTTGCATATTTTTTTATACAGTATTTAAAAAATTCTCCTCTAGTGATTATCAAAGATGATTTTATTACATTTAATTTTTCAAAGAGGACAAACCAAAATAAGTTTCACCATATTATTTAATTTGATGCTGTAGACATCCATTCAGTACCAGGTACATGTCAACACGTATATAGACGTGCTAATTGTAACCTTTTAATATGAGCTACCATACATGTATATTTGAAAAAAATGGGATTTACTAGGTTAAAAGACTATCTTTAAAGGCACTTAAAAGTATGTTACTTGCATGAAATATGACTTCTTAAGCACAATAGCAGTAATATGAAACTTGGATCAATCATCCTAGCTGGTGTGAAAATAGTTAAAAAGATAGATTTTATTATTTACATTGTCTTATAAGAATTATATAGTCAAGTAATTAGTATTAGAATAGACAATTCATGTAGAAGCATTGACTTAGGATAACACATATAATCCATATTTTGTCTATGATCATAGGAATGTTAATTTTTTAGGTAAGACAGGAAATTGGCCTCCCCAAGAAGAGTAGAACTTGAAATTAATATACCAGTTTTACTCATTTTACTGTGTGTGGTGTAAAGCTACAGTGCAATCCAATGTCAGCCTACGTATTATTGCAGTTTCACTTCAGAAATATGCAAGAGCAGCCCTTGGCTTTTGATCTGTAAGAATTTGCTCCCCCTCCAAAAAGAAATTTAACTAGTGTTCATATGTGATCATACATACATACATACATACATGTTCACACACAAGTGAACTTCTGAAACAATGTCATTACTTTTTTGCACACAGTAGCTATTCTTCACACATCTGCCTTTGAGAATTTGTGCATGCCACTAGCTTTGAGCTATCTACCTTCTAAGATACATTTAACATGAACTGTACTATTGCATGATGTAATCATCATGCAACAACAACCCTCCACCAATAGGAGGGCAACATGTCCTCCATACACAGTAGATACCCATAAACACTTGCACTTTTTCTCAGCACTTTTGTGAACAGCGTGTTTTTCAAAGATTAAACTGTTCAGTGTAGTGAGACTTGAGTTGCCTTCATATCATTGTTAACTTTCACTTATTTTATTTTGAATTCAATTTCAACATACACTGCCATTCAATTGTTGCTTACTAAAGAAGAAAATTTGGAGAATTCCTTTAATTACAATGTATTCTCAAGTAATGGTGATTACTACCTCCTCCCAAGGTTCTGGAAATGCAGCTAACACTGACTCTACATTGTCTGTGGCCATTGATTGTGGAGAATGATACTACTGCTGTTCAGTATTCCATGGGTTTTTTAATGCCTTCATGATCTTCTCTCCCTGCATTTCCTATGTTGGGAATGTGTTCCTCTCTTTCTCAACCTGACCACGTGGACAACAATTTTGAGTGGCTCTTTTTACCGCTCAAGTTTGCACCAGGTATTTTACTTATAGAGGCCAATGCTTCTTCTCTAAATTTCTTTGTGGATTTGATTTCTCAAGTTTTTTCTTTATTTCTCTTTCACCTGTGTCTTTTGATTTCTCCATTTCCTTACTCAATTCCTCTCATGCTGAGGATTATTTGGTTTTCCTCCTTCTCCAGACAACTTTTGCCTTCTACTTTTCACCATCCCTCCTCCCATCAAATTGCTGTCATATGTTCCATGAGTGATCATCTCCCTTTGTACTCAGTAAACTCAAGCCCTGTGGAGGCACATCTGTATTTATTTACAGACCTCTGGACCACATTCGGAGGGACATTCCAGTTCTTAAACTAGACTTTTCTGATCATTTCTTGTCTCTTTCTCCTTTATCTCCTTTTCCAACTTATTTTCCTCCTCCTTTCAGTTTACAGCATCTTCTGCGTATCGAGACCATGTTATTGGATCTTTTGTACAAGAGAGGCATCAAGAGGGTTCATTGCCCCTCTCCAGGATTTTCTTCTCGTCTTGTTTAATCTTCTCATCTTCTCTCAACCACTATCTATCAGAAACTTAGTTCAAGATGGAGGAATTTTTTCCTCTCCATTGTTCCTTTTCTCCCAAATCATGTATGACCATAGTTGATTTCTCAGATGCCTTTCTACAAATTTTGATTGCACAGTCCTCTCAACAATTTCCTTGATTCATTCTCTAAGATCAGGTGTACCAGTTTTAAGCTCTCCTCTTCAGCATCACTTTGGATCCCTATGTATTCAACCAAGTCCTGGGAGCATTTACTCATTGCATCCACATTCTTGGACTTTGTTTCCATTATTACCCGGATGACTGACTGACTCCTTATCTCTCATCACTTCTCCTCCAAGAAGCTGCTCATCTGGGTTGTCTAGTCAAACCTTTAAAGTTGCTCCTCGCTCCAACCCAATACTTGGTCCACCTTGGTATCTTTTTCAGTTCTTGACTCAATTGGGCTCATCCTTCCTCTGTTTGTTTGCAATACATGGAATATCTAGTCACCTTGGCTTTTGCCTCTTCTACACTTACTGTGTAAGAGGTTCTATCTCTTTTGGGAACTCGTGTCATTTGAACATCTTGTTCCTTTAGGCCAAGCTCATGTAAGGCTTCTTCAATGGACTTTAAGCATTCAATGTAATGTTTTCTATGATTATCTGTCTTTTCTTGTGATGCAGCCACCTTCTTTTCTTGAGGGTTTGTCTTGGTGGCTAGCTTGTACCAACCCAATGGTATGCATTTTACTTCTGCCCCTCATATAGATCTCCATCTCTTCATCAATGCATCTCTTATGGGTTGGGACATGTCTCTGGATGACTCCATAGCCTCAATGGTTTGGTTTCATGTTGAGAGTACTTTCCACATCAATGTTATGAAACTCTTGGCCACCCATTGGACAAGTTCCTACCTTAAATTGTGGATCACTTGGTTATGATCCATTCTGTCAATGCTATGATTGTTTCCCATATTAATCATCAAGAGACCTTTGCTTCCACTTGTTGAATTTTCTATTTTGGGTGTACTCACATCAAGTTTGATTAACTGCCTATAATGTTCTGGGGGCTTTGAACTTGGTGGCAGGTCATCTCCCTGGGTTTTTACTATCGAGTGGTCACTCCATCTTCAGGTCTTTTATTCGATCTGTTCCCAGGTGGTCACACCAATGATCGATACCTTTGCCACTGCTCTCAGTTCCAAACCTCCTATATTTTGGACCACAATACCCCACCCACTTGCTCTGGCTGAGTATATCCTCACCTATGACTGTCTTATCTCTTTTTGTCTATGTAATCTCATACATCTCTCTTACACAAGACAGTGTTATCCCTTTGTTTTCATGTGTGGGATTTATCTACTCCATTAGTCATCAGTCAGGTTTCTCCAAACTTGAAGCTTTTTTTATCCCATTTGTACTGCTCTTCTAATCTCTGTGTCTATCAATAATAGTGGCACATTTTTCTCCACTGGTCCATCTGCTACCAGACTGTACCCCTGTAACTCACCTTTTGGCCTTTTTTTTCCTCATTGTTTGACTGAGGATTGTCAGTTTCTATTATAGCAGGTTATCAGGTAATCCTGTGAACTGCCTTTTGACTTTTTTACTATGATTCTGTCTTTTTCTTCCCTGTTCTTTCCGTCTTGTTCCAGTCCTTCAACACTCATTGTTCCCTTTGTTTATTATACCAACTGTAAATTTAATGTGGTTCTACAAGTTTTTAAGCAGGCCCCATTTAAACCATGGGCCTCTTGCTCATTATACCATTTGTATACACACACACACACACACACATATATATGTATATTTCATTCTCTATTTCAGACTGTACCTTCCATGGACTGTCATGGAAAAAGCCAGCACAGAGAAGTGTTTGCCCATTTTCCTGGCTCATACATGCTAGCTTTTCAAATTAGGTGTCATGGGAACCCATTGCACTTTCTCCATTAACAGACAAATGCAGCAGTTGGGTCTGATCGAGTCCAGGCACCTCTACAGTGCCCCAAAATACAATATCCTCCTTCCTGGTTATCATGTTCCTGGCTGCTGGATGGTCAACTCACTGGTTTCTCACTGGTTGTGCAATCCCTCGAGAGAAAATTTGATTGGGCAGCACAGTGAGGTGAGAAATTGGGCAGGGGTGTCCATGTCAGTGTAGTGCAATTTTTCAGTGATTTGGATAGCTGTATGGGGCAGAGTGTTCATCAGTGAGCGACCTTTATACCTGTGCCTGTAATTTACAATGAGTTAATGATACAATGGAACACATATCATTGAGTCACTTTCTCTGAAGGTAGCTTATCTAGGTATTTGCAATTGTACTGTCCTCTCTATCGCATCATTGTGCAGTTCTAGCTGTTGTGTGTAGAGAGTAAGGAAATATTTTGGAAGTTAACATTTTCCTTACCTGAAAATGTATTTTTGATAGGTACTTACCTCTCAGTACATTGTTCTTGCCTCTTCTAAGATTGAAGTTAACTTTGAGTGCAAGTGCTTACGAGGATCTACTGTGCATGGAGGATGTCACCCCCTACTGGTGGATGGCTATTGTCACATGATGATTACATAACACTTGCATAGTTCATGTTGAAATGTGTCTTAGGCAGTAGATAGCTCAAAGCTAGTGGCATGCACAAATTCTCAAAGGCAGACATGTGAGGAATAGCTATTGTGTGCAGAAAAGTAAGGACATTGTTTCAGAAGTTCATTTATGTATGTATGTAGTTCAAGACAAGTGGCATGCACAAAATCTCAGAGGCAGATGTGTGAGGAATAGCTTTTGTGTGCAGAGGGGTGAGTATCTTTTGGAAATACACGTTCATGTAAAGAAAATGATAACTTTCAAACAGGATTTTGATTTTTCATATTCTAAAATGGTATTTCATATTGATAATTGATACTACCTAAATTTGTTTCCTGATATTTTTTCAGCTCAAGCAACAACTACATATTCTTCCAGGGTGCGTACTCTTCTCATGGTTTTAAATCGTATTACATGTTTGGACTTTCCACAGCAAGGTGTTCCATGGTTTCATGAAAAATACTGTCAAGACAATTTATCGAAAAGTATGTACATAAATCCAGTTGAGTACTATAAGGAGAATATTGTTACAGTAAAAATATTTTTAAACTTATTGTTTTTATTGTTTTTTCAGTTATAAAACTATACTTTCAATATTTTCAAATAATTTTATCTTTTATTGTTCTGTAAAAATATAATAATAAGTTCAGTCTACTTAATGATAATGAAGGTATTTTATTTTTTTTACTAAAAGTTCTGTAAACTAGCTTAGCTACTTTTCCCTGATACTCATATGACTAAGTAAGTACCAAAGATGCTAATATAAAATTTCACTAATTCTCTTCTAGGGAAAACACTCTCTCTCTTATCTCTATTACTTTGTCATAGTAGTTTCGTATGGTGTTTCTCACACCTCTAAAATCTGTTGGAGGTGAGTATCAGGTAGTAGAACTGTCGTCCTAGTTTTGGACACTGGGTGAGCATGTTTCGGTGTGATGGGGGATTCGAACCCGTGACCCTCAGATTACGAGTTGAGGGCCATAACCACCTGACCATGCTGGGCCTACTTTATCATAAACATCAACTCAGTCTTCCTATGCTCAAGTGCAACTTGCATTTTATACTGCTCTAGTCATTTTATAAACTTTCAAGAAGTGCTACAGATAAGATGCATCTCCACATAAATACACGTTTTATACCTAAAAACACATTAGAAATAAATACTTGTGCATACCAAATGGATTAGACCTCTATGACATTTTTTTCAACTGAAATTACAAGTTTTAGTGAGGAAAAGAAAAATTCACAATTGAGTTATACAGCATTTAACAGCTAACAATCACCTGTTGTTTGGGGCTACTGTTGAACTGAAAATCATGGCAGTCTAATTGTATTGATTGACTTTAATAAAATGTTTAATGTATTGAACTTATGATGTAATTGCTTCAGGTAGTCCTTGATAAATAATGGGATAAGAAAAGCAAATACATAGTAAACATAGCAAAACAATACCAATATCTCAGGTGTTGTATGTAAAAAAAATCACTGAAACCTGAAAATATGCAAGTTATTCAGCATTGTAGATTATCTTGAGAAGTAACTTACTCACTATGTCAAAAGCTTATATAGAGAACTGCAGAAGGTTCTAGTAACTAAGCCAGGCATATTACATGAAGTGATGCTCCCCTGGGCAACAATAATACAAACACCTGAATTAAAAATGAATTGGCATTTAACAGTACTGATATCTAGCAGGTCACAAAATATTTACACACACATACACATATAAGTAGATAGTTGTAATACCATAAATTACATCAATTGTATATAGGTAACCAAATTAGCACTATATAAAAATGATGGAAGTTAGTATAAAATCAAAAACTGAGATGTCTGTTATGAGATTCTAACATAAAAAAATAAATATTTGTCCATTGCCAGCCCTTTTCTTTATTCATTAACTCATAACACAAAATGTCTGTGGTCATACTATCCAACTGCTTTCTCTAGTCAACAGTTGTCATTTCTCAGAAGTGTAGATCATGTTTGTTTAAAATATATGTTAGTAGGGTTTTTGGGGTTGATATTATTTTACTTGTTTTTGCATATTGTGGCTGATATTTTAATGAAATAATTTGAAATTAGTATTCTGACAAGATACCTTACTTCTTCTCACATACATAGCTATTCTCACTCAGTGCTGCCCTTTATTTGCAAAATATTTTTCGCCATGCCACAAGCCTTTCACTTCTATGCACCCCCTCAAATCACATGGTTTAACAAAAGTTTAATTAGATTTGTCATTACTAATAGTCAAGTTCAGGTTTGAAATTAGTGCTTATATGTATCCATTGTCCTTAACATCAGATTACGCTTAACATGGTCTTTTATGTTTTAGGATTACTTGTAATTCATCTTACCGGTATATCGTAAATTAGGTTAACTATATTGTTTTTCTTTAATACGTCACATCTCTTACATATGTTCTTGTGAATACACACTTACTTAATTTTATAATGTAACATACATTTCATTTTCGTTATTATTTATCTTTTATAATTCTTCATCTTATCTTTGTTTGTGTGGACCCCACTATTCGATTGTATTGGATTATTTCACTTACCAAGGGGGCACTCATTCTTGTTCCCTTTGTGGTAGACAGTGGATCTCCCTTTTTGAACCCACATATTTGACGTACGTCTCCTGGCATGTCCTGTTCCAGGTGCTCTTGGCCTCTTTGCAGATCACCTTTCCAGTCCCAACACACTTTCTCCCAAGGAGTGGCCGGCCTCTCAATCCTCAAATTTTTGGTGACTGCCTCTTGTGGGGTACTCCTCTGTGGGAAGCATTTGACTCCTTTCTTGATTCCAAGTTAGCTCTTTTGTTTTTGGTTTCCATTGTATCATTCACTGTCAGTGTGTTCAGACAGGATTAGATCGAGGTTATAACTTTAGTTTTCTCATTCTGTCAGTCTTCCCAAGATTATTTTGATCATTCATGTCACACTTGGTCTGGTCTTTCTGACGGATCCGTCCTGGCTGGCACAGATCTGGTTTCTTGGTTGTTTTGATTTCATATATTTTCTTTTTGTTCTGGATCAATTTTACTAAACTCCACTTTAAAGGTTCTTGTAGAATATTCTTTTTGTCAGTTTGTTTCTTGCTATCTTCTACCTTTATTCTCGGTCAGTTCTGGATGACTTTCTCTGTTCCATACGTGGTCTGGTTGCTTCATTGCTTTCAAGGCTTTTTTCCATTGACTCCATTTCTCACAGTTTCATTCCCTTGCACCACTCCTCTGTTTTTGATTTTCCCCCTTCCTCCCTTGCCCATTGGGTTCAGCTTGTGATTCAGTTGGGCTTGTATTCATTGTCTCCTTCTTCCTGTAATCAATTCCTGGTGTCTTTACTCCGATCAGGCACATTACAGTTTACCTGCATCTCAACCTCGTCATCTGTTAGAGGTACTTTGTCTGTCAAGCACTGGACTACACCTCATACATTTGTCTCCCATTATCTGCTTTGGTTAACTGTTTCTTCTTCATCAGGGTACTGACTTCCACCTATCACCATCTTTCACTCTTTGGTGAGACTGTAACTAGGTAAGTTTTCTTTATTTTGTTATATATATTATTTTTCATGGGCCTGTCCCATGTTTTGACCTGGATCCTGATCTGTGGTCTGTGGCAAGTGGTATCTGTCCAGGTATACTTCAATCACTTAGAATTGTAATAAAACCCACACTTTAAGGCCATGTTGATTTCATTTTCATAATATCCATGGCCACAAAATGCACACTGTTTTTACAATCACATAAACTAGAGATGGGGGTGTTCCACAATATTGCTCAAAGGTTGTTCTCCCCTTATATTTGCTTCATAAATATGCCTGTTCTGAACCATACTAACCCATGGACTTCATGGGTAAAGTAGAAGGGGATTGCTGTCCATCCCTGCCATTCCTTAGATTGAATATATTGGGTTTGGTCTGCTTTTAAACATAGGGTTTCCTAATCACCCATTGCACTGTCTCCGGTGTTAATGTTTCTCTCCGGAATCTCCACCGCACCCCCACCCCCCATTTCTTCCAGTGGATTAAGAGCATCCTTACCACTTTCCAGTTCCAAACCACTGGTGTGGTGGATCATGGAGGTATCCTCTTGAATGAGAGACAAAATATAAACAATAAAGACTCCATTTAGTTGAGAGTAAGGCAGTGGTGTTCTACTGGTGTAGAAGATGAGATGTTCTCCAAATGGATGCTCCATCTCTACCTGGGTTTGTCCTTGGGGATGTTGCAACTTCGGAGTGCACCGTCATAAATTTGGAATCCCTCATCCTACCCTCGCATGGAAGTTGGTTCCTAGCAGTTGAATTTTGGACTTAGAGCTGAACAAATCAACATATTGTCCACATATATTGTCCCTCATCCTACCCCTGCATAGATGTTGGTTCCTGGAAGTTTAGTTTTGGATTTAGAGCTGAACAAATCACCATATGTCCTCACATATGTTATGCGATTGGGATCCCTCATTCTACCCCTGCATGTATATTGGTTCCTGGCATTTGAATTTTGGACTTAGAGCTGAACAACTCACCATGTGTCCTCACGCGTTGTGCGATTAGGATCCTTCATCCCACCCTCACAGGGATATCAGTTCCCAGTGATTGAGTTTTGGACACAGTAAGCTTACTGTGTATGGTCGCATCCTAGCCACTCTACACCTTGGGGCACATCCCTTATTTTACCCACATTATTTTCATCAGGGAGATTGAAATTCTAATATATTATGGTTAGGATCACTGTCCAACCATTTTCTCTCCCATTGGGATGTGTCCTCATATTTTCTGCCTGGATCTGTCACACCTTTTCCACATCTGGGTAAAGGGTATACCTAGTACAGAAATGGTGTGGTCTCCCATGTGTAATACTCTTATTAGAGGGTGTTCTTCAGACACTTTCGAGGGATGCTTTCTACTTTCTTCCTTGCACTGGTCCCTCCATCTATTCAATGTGGGATTCTAGCTATGTATATGAGTGGAACTAAGGTAATACCTTGTCAGAAGTTATAATTTTCCTACACTGAAAATGTATTTCTGACAGGTACTTACTTCTGCTCACACTTCCCACCCTTCTTCCCCACTGTCATCCAGTGCTTATGTTTCTGCCTAAACTCAAAGTGATAGTTAGGCAGAATAGCATAGAGGGAATCACACGAGTCAAGTGGGTGTGTGGCACTGCTATTGATGGAGGTTTGTCGCATGATAATTTGCATGTAAGAGTCAGTTAAACCGTGTGAATTAAGGAGGTGCATGGAAGTGAATGTCTTGTGGCATTGAAAAAAATTTTTGCAAATAGAGGACAGCGTGGAATGAGAATAGCCATGTATGTGAACGGAAGTAAGTACCAGAGCATTTAACTTCCCCTTATATCTAGAAAAGTATGTCTGTCATAATTATCTGTAGTGTAGAATGTAATCAAATATTAAGTACTTAGCTCAAAACTAAAATTGATAAATAGAATATATTTTTTTTTCATTTTATGATTTGTCTTGTTAATAATGACAGATAAAATACTTTCTAAATAATAAGAGATCATTCAAGAAAAAGGTTTAATTACAGCAATGAAGAGTGTCATTTTATAAGTTTTTGAATTTTGTTTAGATTAAACATTTCTCAGCAATTAAGTCTAGAGTCAGTATGTTGTCAGAATAAATTCCTTATCCTGCTTGTTAGAATACTGTAAAACAATGGAGACAGTTGCAGTTATACAAAGGATGTCTCAATCATTTAGAAGGATCTATAATATATAAATGTTGAACATTACAACAACACAAAAACTACAGAGATTATCATGTAACTTATTCTTCTGTATTAAAAATATTGACTCTCAGGAAGCAAATTGTGATATAATTTTGTTTTGAGAATTATGTTTTGCAGAAAGTGTAACCAAATATTCTTAGTGTGTCAATTGTTCATACTCTTAGATAAAAGTAAGTTCAAATCAGTACAAGATACATGCATGAAGTTATTCACATTAATTAAGTTAAACATTATTAATCACGTTAAATCACATATTCATCCTGGAACTTGTTGTTGTGGTAGTTCTACAAAGTATATATTATATATTTCTGGCTTTACAATTAACTTTGTGATGTATATGTAAAAAATTATTTATAATAAATTGCTTCTGTAAAAGTTTAAATGATTTTTTAAGTCTTTTGTAAGTCTTATAAAGAAGTAATGAAAGGATACATGTGTGTGGAGCCCTAATAATCTTTCAGTGATGATATGTGATAATATGATTATTTTTTATATATTTGAATACTATTGTGACACTAATGTGAATCTAAGTTTGTATAGCGTCTACTCGTGAATTCTGTTCAATGGTCATAAAAGGTAATGTTACCCTCATAGAATAGGTACTATATATGATGAATTTGATGCCCGATATTCCAGTATTCACTTTCTTTTAGCTTCTCACACGATGTCTGCCTTTCAGCGTGATGTATACAACATACTGTGTGAAGTTGTCTCGGGACCACAGCATGTGCGTGCTCATGTGTACACACCTTATCATTACCATCTCAGTAAGTTCTTGATAAGTATCATTTCTGTCATCAGCATTTTGTGGATATTTTTGAGCTTATCTGTTGTTTATAAGTGGACCTGAATACCATGCCAGTTTGTATTTTTATGGTCTGTACTTTTGATCATTGAACATAAGTTAAATTTTGCAAAAGTCCAATGTTTACTTATCATCCTAGTGGTAAATAATGTGAATATTTAGAGCTTTTAAATGGCCTACAGTGCATTAGAGGACATGTAGACCCCTCTGAGTTCCACAGGTCTTTAACGAATTTATTATTATGTATTTATTTTTAATATGAATGGTGTTTGAATTTGTATTTAGAAATAGGCGTGACTTGTATTATCTGATATGTGTTGCATATAACGAATTTGTGATATATTTATTTTATTGTCAACATTTGTTTCAAATAAGTTTATATTTGAGGGCATGTTTAGCTTACCGTGTTAGTTACATATGGCGAAACTCCCGCCAATTCTCCAAGATTATAGAACATTCGTGAACAAAGAATCAACTTCCGTAACCGTTATATCATAAATTTCTAGAAAATGTGATTGGCCTATAAAAGCAACAGACAACAGAGAAGACACAGGTCTACTATGAAACTATTATAACCGTGTAACCTATAAAATGTGATTGTGCTAACCCTATCCACCGGAAAATATACGACATTTGACCAGGAGCAGTTATAAATTTCGAACATCAGTGAATTCCCATCAAATGTTAATATCTCTCCAAGAATATTATTAATTTTTCAACAGACATTAGTGATTTTGTGAAAATATTACCTAACTTCAATGGTCCAACAATTTAGTGCCTAACAAAGCTAGCTAGTTTCTCACCAATTATTGTACATACACCTCGCTGGATATCAAGGAGATTCTGAACTAGAAAGACGATTTTAGGCTCTTTGTAAGTTATTGAAATTTCTGTATATAAAACTTTGTAATAATTAATGATTGTTATTGTAGTTTATAGTGTTGTATATATATTAAAGCTTATTTGTGTCAAAACCAAAAATAGTGTGAATCAATCTTGTTGGCGAATAGCGTAAATTAAATAAAATGTCGGCATATTTCTAAACCTAAATCCAAAGTACGTCCAACGAGTAAAAGTTTAAGGGAAATGTAAAGTTTAAGTAATTAAGGGTTAAAGTAAAATAAATCTGATTAACATGTGAAAGAAATAATAATGAATTGTTTTAAGATAAAAATTTCATGTTTATGATTAATATTAATATTAAAATCTAACCTAAATTTCATGACTTGAAATTGAAAATTTCATATTGAAAATTCATTATAAAAACTTTTGTATGATTCTTATGTATTAGTCCTATTGAAATACAACAGCAGTTCCTTTAAGAAAACCTTAGCTAAACAGAAGCCAATAATTATCCACTAATCACAAAGCTATTATCAAATCTGTCTCTCAGTTGTCATGTCACCCAGGCTGTGGTTCCTTATAAAATAATATTGACTTGCAACAAACTATAGCAGAAGGTATTTGAGCATCACATGACATTAGTTTAATTTATTAAATTTTAAATAACATCCTATATATGCTTATGTGGTTGGGACTAATATGTCAGAAAAAATGTGCAGGATTTAGCAGAACCAAAATTATTATTCACTTGATAAAAATTATGCTTCTAAGATTAAGAGTTGCTGCTAAAACCCCTAAACACTGTTTTTTGCTGTTACTCATGTGCCACATTAATTTCTGAAAGAGACAACAAAAGTCAAGTCTCACAGATTAAATGAAATTATTATGTAATTTACTTTTGAGGTTATAAACAAGTTTCAATAAGCAATGTGTTTTTCAATGTGTTTTACATATGTGTTAATTATTGACAGATCAACAGGAATGTGTAAAAATAACATCCACAGTTTGTGACTTGTATTTTATGATTACCTTCAATGGCTAGCCTCTTGGGTAGTGTTTATAATCACACCACCAGTAAACTTTCACTGCAGAAATTGTATGATATACAGGGTGTCCATAAAGTCTTTTTACAATTTTAAAAATTTATTACAAAGGCAATTAATAAGATATCTTTATCAGACTTGTTCTATTGTAGTCAGTGGTTTTCAAAGTTGGGGCTATGTTAAAGATATCGTGTATCGAACAAAGATACGGGACATTACTGAACTAAAGCAAAAGATAACAGATGTGATTGCAACCATTGATGAGGCTATGCTACAGCGAACATGGCAAGAAATCGAGTACCGTCTTGATGTGCTTCGTGCGACTAATGGTGCCCATATAGAGGTGTATTAAATGAGGTAAAAAAACTTTGAAAACCACCGAGTACAATAGAACAAGTCTGATAAAGATATCTTATCCATTGCCTTTGTAATAAATTCTTTAAATTGTAAAAAGACTTTATGGACACCCCGTAATTCAGAGAGATATGTTTCATTTACTCAAATTCCTCTTCATGGTTCATGTTGATTACATGACTGTGATGGTAATATTATCTTACTTAACTTTCTGATAATGACCATCCAAGATAATCACATGGTGGTGAATCATGTCTGACATTACCCAAACTATCATTATTGTGGTCAACACCTTCTTTCCTTGACCTTCTTGAACCTTTTTACCAAGATAATTGCTGTCCCAGTGATTGAAAAACTTCATAAGTCTGAAAACTACTTCAGTTTTTCTCAGTAACGAAAGTAATTATAAAAGAATTTAGTTCTTGTACAAGCTTTGTTTCTTCTTTTTTTATTTCATACACCTAAATTTTTATAAAAATAATCTACCTATGATTTTTATGTTCTATTAAATCATAACTATTGAAGAATGAACTTTAATTATTTGCACTAAACTGTGAAACAATATTTTCATTATCTCAAATTTAATTTCAGATTTAGATACTGTCGTCATAATAATGTTGCCTAGTGTACTTTCTCAATGAAATAAATATCAATTTTGGGATAGTTTTGAACAATGTTAAATGTAAAATTTTATCCAGTTTGTTTAATATAAGTTTAATGTTAATGTTGTTTAAAGATGTTTTTAAATTGTGTATATTAGTCGTGCGTATCAGCAAGTGTCACGTAACTGGATCAAAAGACAAGAAACTTGAAAAAATAATTCACACTGAAATGCACTTTTTTATTTCTAGGGGTTGAGTAAAGCTGACCTCTTGACTATCTTGACCTGTATAATGAGAATAGCATGGGCTGCAGCAGCGGGCCAGTTACATTTGGCTGCAACCCCACTTCCTGCCAAAGAAAGTGGTGTCATGACAGGACGAAAAAGTCGTCAAAGCAGCACAGGTATTAGGATAATATTGGAAGTCTCGTTTTATCTTGTGCAGTATCTTAAGGAAATGGTTGTTCTTCATTTTAAATATATGTGTAATCAGGGTTGCTTGTACTTTTCTGTTGACAGTTTGTTAAAAATTTTCCATATATATTGCAAAAACTGTAGGTATGTGTAAGTACTTATTTCTTTGCAGTTAGGTGTTTTTGTACGAGAACCGATATTGAAGTGTATTTTTTTTCTTGAGAATTTTTTTAAATAGAAAGTTTACAATTTTAAATGCTTTTTACAATTAGATCAAATTTAAGATGTGGATACACACACACACACACAACATGTGTCTTGTTGTCACATATTAGTTATTATGTGTGTAATAGGTGCTACAAACAAAGATGGTGAAAACATATTTACCATATTCAACTGTGATGTATGAAATATGTATTTCTGTAATTATATGTTGTTGTTTTTTTCAGGTAGTACTAACAGCAACAGTAGTGATGGAGACAGTCAAAATCTTCATGCCGGAGTTTGTGCACAGCATCAAAGTGTAGGGTACAAGGATATTCTTCTGGCACGGGAATGTTTGGAGTTCTTGGTGACCTGTATCCAACAACGACCAGAGAGTTTTGGCAAGTGTTAGATTTGAACATTTTCCTTATAATTAAAATATTTTTTATTTTTTGAAGTGATAATAAAATCTTTGCCTTTTTTCTTGAAAATATTTTCTTTTAAAACAAACGTATGTAGAGTTTGTCTTAGTATTAAAATATTCTATATGTGTATGAAAGCTGTGCTTAAAACTAATATGAGTTAACAAGTGATTATCTCACTGTAATGTTTATATCCATTTTATACAATCATTCACATGTAACTACAATACCTGCTGCATTAAATGACATATTCTTTTTAAAAGATAATTTTATATAACTTTAAATCAAAGTCAAATAGAAGATTAATGGTTTCAACTACCATAGTATAGACTAAATCTTATTGTTTATACTAGCAACTGTCAAAATATAGGATAGGCCTAGTTCTCATATTCTAGAAAAACAAAAATTTCTTGTAGCTCTAAAATTTGGACATATATATGAAATAAATAGATTATTAAAATAGACTATTCTTTAACTGTCAACATGGGCTTGGTCAATTTGACCGACCCCGTGACCTCTTTGTAATCGATTCTTTATAGATTTAATACTTCTGACTTTCAATATAGTGTATATATCTTCACATAATTTGACATTCTTTCACATACAAAAAAATCTTATTTTTTAAAATAAAGATTTGTCCAAGAATACATTGAGTATTTGTTTTGAATATTCTATGTACAAAGTAATTTTCATGTTAAAATTGAAATACTTTTCCTGATCTCAAAAATCTCCAATTTCCTCTGTGTAATCCCTAAAACTTCCTAAATGCATTTCAGTAAAACTTTATGGTTTATCTGTTATTTTTCCTACCCTATCTCAAAACGGGATCTCGTAAACACCAAAAAAAATCTAAATAAACCTTAATTACCCTTTTTTATTTATAGAATAACATGAAACCACATTTGTTTATCCTAAGTAACTCTAAGTTCATAACAGTATACATCCATTTATAATTAAGTTTTATTGTTTTATTGCTCTTTTAACTATGTCTATATATTGTCTGAGCCATTATAAGTTGTAAATCACTATCGAATTACATTACCCACGATCTGCTTGTGTGTGTGACTCATGAACCATTTTAATTATATTATTATCATTATTACTTATTTACGTAATCTAGTCTTAAATAAT